ATATATATAATTTAAAAGAAATGTCAATATCTAAAATTTTGTATTATTACCATCGTCGATTATATATATATTCCTATCAATTTGGGCGCACCGGTATATATATAATTTAAAAGAAATGTCAATATCTAAAATTTTGTATTATTACCATCGTCGATTATATATATATTCCTATCAATTTGGGCGCACCGGTATATATATAATTTAAAAGAAATGTCAATATCTAAAATTTTGTATTATTACCATCGTCGATTATATATATATTCCTATCAATTTGGGCGCACCGGTATATATATAATTTAAAAGAAATGTCAATATCTAAAATTTTGTATTATTACCATCGTCGATTATATATATATTCCTATCAATTTGGGCGCACCGGTATATATATAATTTAAAAGAAATGTCAATATCTAAAATTTTGTATTATTACCATCGTCGATTATATATATATTCCTATCAATTTGGGCGCACCGGTATATATATAATTTAAAAGAAATGTCAATATCTAAAATTTTGTATTATTACCATCGTCGATTATATATATATTCCTATCAATTTGGGCGCACCGGTATATATATAATTTAAAAGAAATGTCAATATCTAAAATTTTGTATTATTACCATCGTCGATTATATATATATTCCTATCAATTTGGGCGCACCGGTATATATATAATTTAAAAGAAATGTCAATATCTAAAATTTTGTATTATTACTACCATCGTCGATTCAAACAGTGACCCCTGTCGCAATTAACATGTCAAACATGGTTATACACTGTGACTTATCTATTGCAGGTAATATTAGGTCTACCGGAATGTTCTGTCCGTTTAAGAAATGAAAGGAAACAATAGATTATTCATAAATTTAGTAATATTTATCGTACGATATAATTTCCGTCGTTACTTATAATCTCTTGCCAGCGTGATGGCAATTTGTAAGCAAGATTGTTCAAAAATATATGTCTCACACGAATCTGTGCGTATCTATTGAAATTTGCAATGACATTGTCGGACAGAACTTTCCGGTAGACCTAATATTTCAACATTATACGTATCGCATAAAAGAAAATTCATCGTGGCGCCACGGACAATTTCTGTAAAACCGGGGCGTGTGGCATTCAACGTGTTAATCGGGTGAACAAGACGAGACACGTTCGACAAGAGTTCCGAGACCGTCTCTCTGGCCTGCACGAATCCCCGAAAGAATTTTCGTCGGTGCCCGTCCCGGTCAAACGCGGAAACCGATACGACTAGAATTCAATGTTTTTTTTTCACGTTCGAATTCCGACAGCGCTCGTATTCACGGTCAAACGTTTCAGCATAAAGGCGGATTGTGGAACCGTGACTGTGCCCGCATCGGACTCGGAAGGTCGGCTCGCAACGTAAAAAGGTGTATTAACCTTGACGTCTCTTTCCTTCGCCACGCAAGCGACTTGACCAAGAACTTTCGAACTAATAACGACAGAACGACGATAGGCGTCGCCGGGCGAAACAAACGAAAAACGGAAAATGGCCGTCGCGACAGGTTATGGGAACGTACCCCGCGATGTAAATCTGCGAAATCAGTGACTACATATAGCCATGGCAGGGATGGGTCGTTGACCAGCGCGCACTCTATGGCAGATACCCGGCATCCGCGGTCGAATACTTCAAAACAAAGGGACACCGGGGTAGCCTCGCGAAGTATAATCGAAATACAATCTACCCTGGAATCGTACTCGTGGCAAACGATATTCAAAAATTCACTCGGTAAACTTTCCACGAGACACAAGAGCATCTGTCAAATTTTCAGAAGCACCGATACCCAAACGCGAATCGATACGAGCGAATTTACGATTGCGCCCAAGAAAATCGCCCACGTTCGAGAAAAACGTCCTTGTAACCTGTGTAAGGAATGTCTCTCGGAATTTCCACCGATAAACAAACAACGAACTTTAGAGCAGTGTCGTGTTTCCTGCGAACCGAACGAGAGATCATTTAGTCACGACTTTGTTCTACGATCTAAACGGTTGCCGTCTAAAAGTTGTCTTTGTTCGAAACGGTAGCCATTTAACGGGAGAAAAAGTCAATGAATCAGGTGCACACGCGAAAGGAGTATAGCGGCTCTGGAAGTCGCCAAGTTGGTCGTGGTACCGGATCGATAGAGCCATTTAATAGAACGGGAAACGGGAGAAGAAGAAAAATAAATGCTGTTCGATCAAAGACCCACCCTGTGACAGCCGTAGCACAACGTTCAAGCTCTTGCGTCGAGCGTATACACCGTGTACACGTATATATAACTTCTACACATTCTACACCTTATGTACCGTATACACTGTATACAGTATATACGGAGAGTACGTACCGCGCCAGCGCCATCCTGACATGAGATAATCCAGGTTCGGTAGGTGTCGAGAGCAAAGTATCCAGATCTGGAAAGAACGCTTTATCGCCGGCACTAAATCCCACTGGACACATGCGCGTAAATTCCTGTTCCTCGAACACACGAGCTCCTCATAACTTCCGCTGTTTTTTTTTCTTTTTTTTCCGAGGGGCCTGACCGTCCGAGAAGCCTCTCCCGAAAATATTTCCCCTCTCACTTCGATTTTCTCTCCGGCAAACTTGTGGCGTCCTCGCGCCTGCGAAACGTAACCAGGGATATTGTATTCCCTTGTTCCCCGCAGTCCTCGGACGGTAAACTACTCACTGTCACTACCGCATTTTCACTGACGTCGTGTGTTCACCGCGAGAGACGAAACAGGCCTTCGCGCGGACAGTCGATTACGGCGACGGCCGTACGGAACGACAATCGAGAATCGACGGACGTGCTTCTCTCTCTCTCGACGACGACGAAACGGTCCGAACTGTGTACGCGTGTGTGCGCGCCTGTGTACGCCTATGTACGTCTCTCTGTGTACGCGCGTGTATGTGTCACGGGCGAGAAACGAAGAGAGAGAACGAGAGCGAAATCGAGAGCGAGACCGAGACCGAGAGAGAAAGAGAGACGAGTGTGTAACGGCGCACGCGATAACGGGAGAACGGAAGGCTCGCGGGCCGAATAACCTCTAACTCTCGTGTCAACCAGCCTGATTAAATTTTGACTCGCGAACGCGTGACTCGGGCCCGACTAGAACCTGCAGGTCGAGCTGTTACGCCTGCCTACTCGAGCACACAGATCTCTCCAGCCACTATTCCAACTCCGGTCACGGCGCTGGCTCGACTGAACCGAGCTACTGAGCGTCCAACAGTCCCCACCCCAACGGCCGCGGCCTCGTGCGGTCTCGTGCGATCTCGCTTGGCCTCGTGAGACCTCGGCGGTACTCGTCGATCTTCGGCCTTCCCCGCGATCGCTTCGGAACGCCTCGTGTCTCGTCGCGACCTCGTGTCGTCGCTAGAACGATGCCTCGCCGCTGGGTACCCAAGGCTTCCACCACTACTACCCACCGCTACTAACACCACTGCCACAACCACCCCCGCTACCCACCACCTTCGACATCTACTGCCTTTCCTCCTCCTCCTCCTCCTCCTCCTACAGGAAACTAACTCTACTCCCCTGTTCGGGAATGCACGTTTTCTGGCATGCTACTTTGAAATTATACCAACTAATGCTATTGTAACGTAACACACGTCGAACCGACGCACCGCACCGCACCGCACCGCACCGCACCGCAACGCGTCACGCCGACCGTTCGACGAGCACTCTCTGACATTCGCGTCCTCTGACAACTACCGGTGAGCTTAATATAGCGACGTGTAAAAATATTCAATGATTCTTCCGATATTTACGATGCTCCCGAACTCCTGTATGGGAAACCGATCTCGACGAGTCGTTTACCGATTTCGTTGCTCGATCCTACTACACGTGTGTCCGCTGCACGCGCAAACGTTCCAACGATTAAAAGAAAAGTCCGTAACATTTCGTAACACTATACATACTTATTTCGTTTCTTACCGAGGAATCTCGGATTTCGCGTGCCATTTATGAATGTGCTTTGTAAATGTCAACCGTCAGGTTTCTCGCCGGAAACAATTTGGAAGACAACCGGTTAAGCTGTATAAATTTGTTCATACAAATACATCCTCGGCCGAGCGATCGCCGCGTCTGGGCTCGCGGGTTTCCGCGAGAGAGAGAGAGAGAGAGAGAGAGAGAGAGAGAGAGAGAGAGAGAACCTTAGGCAGATGGAATGGAATTATTCATGCGGTTAGACGATGGCATATCCGAGGCATTCAAATCAGTATAGGAAACGCGTGAACGTTTACGAATTCAGAGGTATAACCGCACAATCGTTGGGACGTGTGAAAGGCTCCCTCTCTCTCTCTATCGTACTCTCTCTCTATCGCTCTCTCTCTCTCTCTCTCTCTCTCTCTCTCTTTCTCTCTTTCTTTTTCCAGTATGCCGCACCGGTTGGATATCGGTGCTTTCATGTCACCGGAAACGGAGAACAAGCCTATGTGTTCGTCGAGCAACATGAAAAAGAGGTCACGAAAATGTTTTATGGGTGTTTAAGGTGGCCTGGGGTCGGCGTCAATGGGACCGTGACGTCGTGCCGGAATCACGCACGACGATCGTGACATTGTGAGAATACCCGCTCGCGAAAATAATACAATAACAGGGGCCATCGCAACAAAAGACGTTCAAAATTGCCCGTGAAGGATCCCATCAACCTGCCGTCGTATTCGATATCGTTCCATAAAAATTATACGCTCGCGCAATACACGCACGCACCTAACTATAACACGAGTGCTCCGTATTAGTTACGCCTCTAACACGGATGCCGTCAATCGATTGTCATCATTTTATCATTCGTCAAATCTTCCAATAGGCAAGAAATTTTTGGTGCGAATTTTTGATGAGCGGCCGCGTTTGCCGTAATTTCGCCTTTCAACGCTAAACCTACCAGTAATACTAACTGGCGTGTACTGCTTCATAAAAGTGAGAAGACCGAATTTATCTAGAATTTGTCATCATTTTATCATTCGTCGAATCTTCCAATAGGCAACAAATTTTTAGTGCCAATTTTTTACGCGAGCGGCCGCGTTTGCCGTAATTTCGCCTTTTAACACTAAATCTACCAAGCAGTAATACTAATTGGCATCTATTGCTTCATAAAAGTGAGAAGACCGAATTTATCTAGAATTTGTCATCATTTTATCATTCGTCGAATCTTCCAATAGGCAACAAATTTTTAGTGCGAATTTTTGACGAGTGGCCGCGTTTGCCGTAATTTCGCTTTTTAACACTAAACCTACCAAGCAGTGATACTAACTGGCGTGTACTGCTTCATAAAAGTGAGAAGACCGAATTTATCTAGAATTTGTCATCATTTTATCATTCGTCGAATCTTCCAATAGGCAACAAATTTTTAGTGCGAATTTTTGACGAGTGGCCGCGTTTGCCGTAATTTCGCTTTTTAACACTAAACCTACCAAGCAGTGATACTAACTGGCGTGTACTGCTTCATAAAAGTGAGAAGACCGAATTTATCTAGAATTTGTCATCATTTTATCATTCGTCGAATCTTCCAATAGGCAACAAATTTTTAGTGCGAATTTTTGACGAGTGGCCGCGTTTGCCGTAATTTCGCTTTTTAACACTAAACCTACCAAGCAGTGATACTAACTGGCGTGTACTGCTTCATAAAAGTGAGAAGACCGAATTTATCTAGAATTTGTCATCATTTTATCATTCGTCGAATCTTCCAATAGGCAACAAATTTTTAGTGCGAATTTTTGACGAGTGGCCGCGTTTGCCGTAATTTCGCTTTTTAACACTAAACCTACCAAGCAGTGATACTAACTGGCGTGTACTGCTTCATAAAAGTGAGAAGACCGAATTTATCTAGAATTTGTCATCATTTTATCATTCGTCGAATCTTCCAATAGGCAACAAATTTTTAGTGCCAATTTTTTACGCGAGCGGCCGCGTTTGCCGTAATTTCGCCTTTTAACACTAAATCTACCAAGCAGTAATACTAATTGGCATCTATTGCTTCATAAAAGTGAGAAGACCGAATTTATCTAGAATTTGTCATCATTTTATCATTCGTCGAATCTTCCAATAGGCAACAAATTTTTAGTGCGAATTTTTGACGAGTGGCCGCGTTTGCCGTAATTTCGCCTTTTAAAACTAAATCTACCAAGCAGTAATACTAATTGGCATCTATTGCTTCATAAAAGTGAGAAGACCGAATTTATCTAGAATTTGTCATCATTTTATCATTCGTCGAATCTTCCAATAGGCAACAAATTTTTAGTGCGAATTTTTGACGAGTGGCCGCGTTTGCCGTAATTTCGCCTTTTAAAACTAAATCTACCAAGCAGTAATACTAATTGGCATCTATTGCTTCATAAAAGTGAGAAGACCGAATTTATCTAGAATTTGTCATCATTTTATCATTCGTCAAATCTTCCATTAGGCAACAAATTTTTGGTGCGAATTTTTGACGAGTGGCCGCGTTTGCCGTAATTTCGCTTTTTAACACTAAATCTATCAAGCAGTAATACTAATTGGCATGTACTGCTTCATAAAAGTGAGAAGACTGAATGTATTTAGAATTTGTGAAGTTTTTATTATAAAACCTGCTCCAATAATATAACTTATTCAAGCGTTTTCCACGAAAGAGTCTCGGAACTTCGCAGAATTGCAAAACAAGAAAGCGGTCACTCTGACCGCGATAGGTTTAATTTGAACCTATTTTAAAGCGAAGGATTTTTTAGTGTCGGCCAATGTCTTCCGAGTTTAGTTTAGTGGATTGGTGGAGCGGATAGCATCTGTGGAACAATGGGTCTTTTGTGCGAAGAAAGTTGATTCGACGCGGAGGAAATGTGTTTTGCAGCGATCCTTGGTTTTCGGTAGACAAAGGGACTGGGCTGGCCGGTACTTCGGGAGAGCAAACGTCCGTTCACCGCGCTTATGGGAGAGACCGATGCGTTTCTTCGTTTTTTTGTACGGTGACAGCGCGGATCACAGCTGCCACCGCACACGATTTCCGCGGGCCCGGACGACTGCATCGTTTGCGATTGTGTCACGTTTGCGTCGAGCGACGCGTCGGTCACATAAGAGTGACACTAATTTTTCACCAATGTTGAAAATTCATTTTCATTGTATTGTATCCGAGCAAACTGAACTTGACTAGGATGTTTCGGATGCGAAAGAGTTCTAGTGTCGTCCGCTTATGATAAATTTTAACTTTCTATTTTCGTTTTAGTTAATCAAATTGCTTCGACCTTGTGGGAATTTTAGAGATCCTCGAGCCTACGACGAAGCTTTCAGGGAATTATTGGTGAAAAGAAAGAGGCATCTAGACACTCGACGATTCGATAGTTTTCAGAGTTTACAAAGACCTGGAGTATTTTCGGTCCGGCGATCCACCGGTTTTGTACGGTTGTTTCGTCTTTAGGCCGTTTTACTAAATCCGAAAAGGCTGCTTACCTGGACGATTCGAATTCTTAAGCTTCCACCTCAAGGGTCTTATGTTCGACCCTCGTCCCTTTGAAAATTGATCTCAGTCTTTACGACTTTTATCTTTTCTTCACATGAAATATACGTATCTATTATTATCAATGAAAGTACATATAACGCAAAGATGTGACGATATTTGTTACGAGAAGGATATTTGTGATTTGACACGCGCATTTCACGAGTTAGGGAAGACATAACAATTCCCTTTACGTCGAAAAAATATTTAACCCTTAAATGTATGAATTAATGAATTTTATTTAAAAAATAGGGTTATAATTTTTCAAATGAGTGGAAATCGGGAAAAATATTAAAAAAAAATTATAAGTCATATCTTATAGGGTTTTTATTGAAAAATATTAATGATTCATTTTTGGTACACTATGCAAAATAGACATAAAAATTCTTTAGTTAGTATGACATATCTATAACAAAATTATAAACCACATGCATACCACACCAAAACAAAACCAACAAACCAATAAAGGAAGCATAGTACTAAATACATGTCGTAATTATTACCATTAGTGCATGTTGTCCCATTTTTGCATCAACACGAAATAAGCCCTCCATACACATGATAGTTACGGAATATAGACAAAAGTACTAGCAAATTAATAAATAAGAGCCTTACCTTTAGAAAATATTGTTTGTTTAACGAATACACCAAAATATTTCTAAATAATCCACTTCCAAAAGAGTACGTAAATGAACCCGCTATCAAAAATGCGCGCCAATTGGTATAACGTCAGAAAGATACAAATATTGAAGTC